AAAAAAACTGGAAAAAAAACTCTCTGACTCCTGTTGCAAAAACATTTCTAGGATTGAGGAGCCCCCTCCTCACTCCCCCCGTTTACTCTAGGGTGACCATATTTTAATTTCCAAAAAAGAGGAAACTTGAACTGGCTCAAGACACAATGGTACAAAAATGAAATAGAACAAACAAGGATGAAATGATGGCTCTCTTTTTGAAGAAACTAATAAAATATTTATCTAAATATGACCACATCTGTGTTAGAAAAATCCTTCAACTTCAACTGGTCTTGTACCTTGGTCCTTGTCTCCTTACGTGAGTCAGAGTCTTGTCTTGATTTAATCTCCAAGAGAGAGTTTAGTTTTCTTAGTTTTCTAGCACTGTCCATCCTTCAGAGCCTTCTGGTTTTCCTCCTGGTGGAGGATTTTCTGTTTTCTGTTTCATGGCCTGGTGGTTTCTCAGTTTTCTTGAGTGACTTTTGTTTGTCATAGTTTGGATTCCTCCCATTAGAAGAGTTTTTTTTTTTTTTGCTTCTAACAAGTTTCAATGGCCTTGTTTTACCTCCATTACAGTAGGGATTTTCATTCCAGTAAAGTTTCATAGTTTAGACCCCCTTCACCTTTGGAGTGATTTTTATATTTGTTGGAGATATTTCTGGCCTTGAAGCCTCTTGTTGGAGACGCTTTCCTCTGGACTATAACTTTTCACAGATCGCTGATGTTCTCTTCTGTGGAGAACTGATCAATTAAGACTTGTGCAAAGTGCACACACACACACACAGACAAACACACACACACACAGACACACACACACACACACACACACACACACAAACCTCTCATTACAATACAACAAGGTCTCACATTGACATGTATTGTCATTCATTCATATATAGAGCAAAATACTCTGTTTTGTGTGAGTTAAAAAGCTGTTATAGTTGTGTGTGTGTGAGATCCAAACTACGTTTAATTTTGTGTGTGTTCGAGAGCAAACGTTTGTTTGTGTGAGTTTAAAAGCCCTTTCAGTTTAGTGTGTGTGAGCAAACCTAACAGCTCTGACTGGTTTTGTTAATAAACTGGTTTTGGTTTTATTAAAGGCTGTTGGTTTTATTAATAGACTGGTTTTCTTAAAGGCTGTTGGTTTTATTAATAAACTGGTTTTATTAAAGGCTGTTGGTTTATTAATAGACTGGTTTTCTTAAAGGCTGTTGGTTTTATTAATAGATTGGTTTTATTGAATTATTTATATTTATATTTATTTATTTATATTTATATTTATTTATTTATATTTATTTATTTATATTTATTGGTTTTCTTAAAGGCTGTTCACGGTGGCGGTGGATGCCATTAACCACCTCAGCGGGGTGGAGGCTCCGGTGGGGGAGAAAGGCGGGGGCTTCGACATGAAGGCTCTGAGGGCCTTCAGAGTCCTCCGGCCCCTCAGACTGGTCTCCGGGGTCCCCAGTAAGGATACAAAACATTAAATAAATAGGTCTCTCCTGCTTGATCAATTTATTTTTTAATGTATTGGTAATTATCATGTAACAAACGAAAGTAATAATATTATTGTGATTCTTCTTCTTCTTCTTCTTCTTCTTCTTATCATTATTATTATTATTGCTATTATTATTATTATTATTATTATTATTATTATTATTATTATTATTATTATTATCATTATTATTATTATCATTATTATTATTATTATTATTATTGTGGTTGATTCTGAGTAAGCCTATTTATTACAGTCTTGACCAGAAGCATATTGACTGTTTGGGCTCTTTAAGTTGTGAATTGTAGGGTGACATGTCTGTATATTAAACTGGCTTCCAACCAACTCGATGAGATTTGTTAATATTGATTTTTAAAGTCTACAGAGGTATCAGTATGTCATTAGGACGATCTGTGGTCAGATCAGAACTATCCAGGTGGACAGCAGCATTTATATTTATATTATTTATATTGTATTATATTCTACAAGTTCCTGCTTCTCATGGAAAAGTTTAAAGTCCATAAAGGTTAAAAATGCTCTGGTCATCTTCATAGTTCAACGTCTGAATTTTTAACTAGTTCTAAGTTTAGTTTATTTCAGTTTTTTAGGTTAGAAGTGAGAATTAGTTACTGAACTTGAGAAAATAAAAGTGTCTAGTTTTTTAATTAAATCAATTATACCAGACCTTAATTTCTAAAACAAAAATGGAAATCCAGGTGGAACAAATGTGTAGTCCGTCATCAATCTGTGTTTCTGTTACAGTGGGGGAAATAAGTATTTGAGCCCTTGCTGATTTTGCAGGTTTGCCCACTTACAAAGAATGCAACGAACTATAACTTTAATCATATGTACATTCTAACAGTGAAAGACAGAATCCCAAAGAAAATTCCAGAAAATCACATCATATGAATTTATAAAAATTGATAACCATCTGATGAGGAAAAATAAGCATTCTTTGTAAGTGGGCAAACCTGCTAAATCAGCAAGGGCTCAAATACTTATTTCCCCCACTGTATTTCATCTTAACATGAAAACAAAATAAATCCTACCCAATGCTAATCTAAATATGATGATTTCTGAGATGAACCTGGTTTCCCTTCCAGGCCTCCAGGTGGTGATGAACTCCATCCTGAAGTCCATGCTGCCTCTGTTCCACATCACCTTACTGGTCCTCTTCATGGTCACCATTTACTCCATCATGGGGCTGGAGCTCTTCAAGTGCAAAATGCACAAGACCTGCTACCACACGGGCACAAGTACGGTACTCAACCCACAGGTCTAACAAAGGGAAATATCAAGCATTTCAATATTTATGCATTTGGCTGGATTTTTACACTTGGAAGATAACTTCCGTTGAGATTTTTGGATTGCAAAATACATCCAAAAACATGTTTTTATAGGAGCCAAACAGGATTAAGCCACTGAGAGTTTCTCAATCAGTTCCTCGAAAATCATGGAGCCAAAGTTGCCGGGTCAAATCCGCTTCACTGTGTAAGGGCTTTGATGTAAAATGTGTTTTTAAAGTCTTGTAACAAGACAGGCAGAACTGTTTGTGCTCCTTGTTTGTGTTAAATGAATCTTGCAAAAACTGAATTAAACTCTATCCATAATATTATGTTAAAATAGTGGATGTTAAATAGGTTTGTACAATAAGTCCAAAGAAGTTTAACCAAAAAATATTCATTTATTATTCAGTTAGCTCTGACAGGAACAGGCCAGGTCCTAATTCATGCAGGTTTAGGTGGAATGTGATAAGAAAGTGTGAATGTTGAGCTTGAAGACGAGTATGTACTGTAACAGAGAGAGGATAGATAGATAGATAGATAGATAGATAGATAGATAGATAGATAGATA